GGTTCCTTCCCTGGACAGAGGATCAGCTGTGGCCTACCTGCGAGCGGCAAGGACGCTGACCCATTGACCGTGGCCCATCGTTAGCAGGTGCACTTGCGAATGAATGGGTAAGTCTAAATCTCTACAGTTTTTACATTTTCTTTTTAATTCAATATTCCCCGCGACTTGTTAATCCTATCATCATCCATCAATTATCAACAATCTATCATTTCTCCATCCATTGCACGTGAACAACGATTAAGTGTATTAATTGTTATTCATAATAGTGCACGAACAACAATTTCCTTGCATTGTTATTCATGTAGTTTGTTAAACGCTTCGTACTGAGCGGAGCGCTTGTTCAAACGCGTGAAAAGCCGCCCGGCCGGATCGGAGCCAACGCTCCCGAGCCGGAGCGCGCGCGAACCGAGCGCTCTGATTGGTCGGTGTTTTTTGTTAATATCTCCTCAACCACGCCTCGGACAACTTTTTCGCAGAGGAAAATGTTGTTTAAAATCATGTCAGGAACCTCCCATTAAAATTCCTTACACTAGTTTTGGGACACCCTGTATATTATAAACAACGAAAACAGGTGAACGAATCTGATTCGGATAGCTGTGATGAAAATGAATCTTACATAAATGAATCACTTCGTAAAAAAAGGCGATTAAATTTACTTATTACATGATGAATCTGAAGATGTTAATTTACAAAGCATCAATCCGGAAGATATCAGATGGACCACTCAAAATTGTGGGCTCACCATTCATGATTTTACGTATCTATATTAATCATAATTATTCGTATCTGAGGAATTGATAGATTTCATTGTTGAAAAAACAAATAATCAATGGAGACGTAGAAATAATAGTAATTCTGAAGCTGGGACAGAAACAGGCGAACTGTACTATTTTATCGCTGTTTGCTTACTAATGTCTAGGAATAAGAAATTATCAATTGATGAATATTGGAGCAAAAATGAATTATTGCGAAGCGACATTTTTGCAAGATAATGAGTAGAGATCGTTACAAACTGTTACTAAGAACGTTGCATTTTGCTGATGATCACGAATGTAATTCCGATCGTTTATGGAAAATACGTGAAATAATCAATAGATTACGAAAATCATTTGCCAATGCGTTCTATCCTTTTCAAAATTTATGTATAGATGAAAGTTTGCTGCTGTATAAAGGCAGGCTATCTTTTAAGCAATTTATTCCTGCAAAAAGGAGTAGATTTGGAATAAAATCTTTTGTCCTTTGCGATTGTAAACCGGGATACATACAAGATTTTATTGTCTACAACGGGTCTAATAGTGTACACTAACAATATGCAAACATTGGAAAATCTGGAAATACTGTAATGGCTCTTTTAGAACCCTATTTGAACAAAGGACACACATTATATGTGGATAACTGGTACGCGAGTCCCTCGTTCTTTAAACTTTTGCATATGAAGACAACAAATGCGTGTACGTGGTACTGTTAACAAAAGAAGAAAGGGTATGCCAAAAATGATGGAAAAACTAAAAAAAGGAGAGGTGTGTTGCCGCTATTCCCGCAACTTACTGGCGATGAAATGGATGGACAAAAAGGAGGTTTTCATGTTATCCACTATGCATTCAGATGATTTTGTAAGTGTACCAAAACGTTCTAGAAAAGAGGAAATAGTACGAAAGCCAGCTTGTATGAAACAACCCGGATACAATATCCCAAATGCTCTTGGACATACACCATTAATTAATAAGTATTGTTCTGTAGCGACTTCATCGCTGCCATGTTTTTGTTAGGATTGGAAAGTTGTTTAAAATTATTTTTACGGTAGGGTTCTGTTTAATGTATGGCAGTGTCGAACCTTACATCTAGCATATGGCCTAGCACTTGAGAAGGTTCTGATACTTTCTCTTGCCCTGACAGTTTTTCCAGGAAAGATAAGCCTCCTGTCCTTGTTTTAGACAGAAGGGTAGGAGCGTTGGAAAAGCCATCAGGGCGTTCAGTTCAGTTAATGATGGTCTGTCAGGCGCGTTAGATCTCCGTTTGTTAAATTTGTAAATCTTGTAAAAGGCATATTAATAAAGCTCATCCTGTATTCAAATCGTGGTTTATTTTCCATATTAATTCTCCCACAGTTATATACAGGGTGTCCTAGCTAACTCTGGCATCTGAAATATCCCGCTTGTTTTTCATGATAGAAAAAAATGTTAGAAAAAAAAGTTATTGTATCCGATGGGACACATTTTGATTGGTAAAAAATTTTGCTCAAGGTCATTTTTTTCGAGATCACAAGGTTATCGGTGTTTTTTTAAACGAAACCATATATTTTTGTTATCATACGATGATAGCTGAGGGCAAGGCGAGTTCATTGACCTATGACACTACGACCTTCAAATGACCTTGAGTGTGGAAATTTCATAAAAGTTTGGAAATTGATTTAAATGGTAAAATAACAGAAAAAGTAATGAAAAAAAGAAATTATTTATTTCAACAGGTGTTCAAAATGATGCCCATTAACTTCGATGCATTTCATTAAGCGATTAATAAATGATTCGGTAGTGTTTATTATTATTTCCCTGCTGATATTAGCACAGGCAATTTTAATACGTTCCATCATGTTTTCCGGTGTCGTGGGAATTTCGTCGTAAACTTGTGATTTCACCGTGCCCCAAAGAAAAAAATCTAACGGTGTAATATCTGGCGAGCGCGCAGGCCATGGAATATCTGAACCTCGCCCGATCCATCTTTGAGGAAATTTTTGTTGTAGTACTTGTCGGGCTATTAATGAATTATGAGCCGGACATCCGTCATGTTGGAACCACATTCGTAACCTTTGAGCAATGGAAATGTCTTCTAATAGTTCTGGTAGCTTATCAATTAAAAAATTTGCATACTTTTGTCCAGTCAAGGTGCCATTAATAAAAAATGGTCCAATAATAATACCACCAAGGATACCACACCATACATTTACGCTCCATGGACGTTGATGTTCAACTTGCCTAAGCCATTTTGGGTTTTCGGTGCACCAATAATGCATATTATGCCTATTCACTTGTCCATGATTAGTAAAAGTAGATTCATCAGTAAAAAGAACGTCATGAAAAAATTTTCTATTCCCTTGCAATTGCTGTAATGCCCATTGACAAAAAGCAACGCGATTATCAAAGTCATTACCATGAAGCTCCTGGTGCAATGAAATGTGATATGGATGAAATTTGTGATACTGTAGTATGCGACATACACTTGATTTTGAGATATCCGAAAAACGGGCAATTTTTCGACAACTTGTAGTTGAATCACTATTTACTGCAGCCAATACTAAAACTTGTTTATCATCTCCAGTAGCAGGTTTCGATCGTTCTCTTTTCAATGATTTAACACTGCCTGTTGAAATAAATAACTGAACAATGTGGTCAAAAGTTTGTCGACAAGGATGATTTTTTTCGGGATATCTCTCTGCATAGAGTCGAGCTGCCAGTACAGAGTTTCTTCCAGCCTCACCGTAAATTAAAATCATTTCAATTTTCTCTTGCTCACTGTAGAATACCATTATTTTATAATTATCTTCCACACTCATAAGCTCGTTTCTATCGAAATGGAATACTAAGCTGTCTGTAGTAAACCAAAGAAGAGAACTAAGTAGCAATATTTACAATCTACTTACATCAGTAATATGATATTGAAGTTACAAGAAGCGTGTTTACTAATATCAGGCAAGGTACTTCACCATTTAAATCAATTTCCAAACTTTTATGTAATTTCCACACTCAAGGTCATTTGGAGGTCGTAGTGTCATAGGTCAATGAACTATATCATCGTATGATAACAAAAATATATGGTTCCATTTAAAAAAACACCGATGACCTTTTTCTTCTAACATCTTTTTCTATCATGAAAAACAAGTGAGATATTTGAGATGCCAGAGTTAGCTGGGACACCCTGTAGAATACAGACAGAGTAGATGTCATTTTGGGAAGGCTTCAGATCTAAATTTCCTCTCAATGTATCAAATTCGCGGTCTGTTAATAATAATTACTACTGATAACTCTAACTCTTCGAGGATGTCGTATGTAATTGTTTCATGAGAAATCTCGTTGCAATCATGTCCGGTAGATACCACCTTTTTTATTTTTCTTGCCAATCTACGGTTTTTTGCTCCTGTTCGCTCGTCGAACGCGATACGTTCAGTTAAGATCGTCGATAGATCCTCGCGAGGATATTATAACTTACGTATTTATGAGCGACGATCAATAAGAATATTCTTTCACAAGCTTAATCTCAGTCGTACTTCCATCGCGCACCATCAGAACACGCAGTTTTATGAAAAAACGCTTATCAAACGTTTGTTTAGAATGTTGCTCGATAGACAACTTCTACCTGCTGACACTCTTGCGTATAGCACTTGTAAGTGCGCCGAAGAGGATTCGACGATCTGTATTTCTCGTAGAACCACCCAAGGATATTGACGGCCCTGGATCCGTAAGAAGTCTAAGTCCGTAAAACTTGGAGCTACGTGTGCTTCCCCAAAAAAAGAAATCGAGTGTTCCGTTCCACGTCTCCCAAGCAAGTGCTTGTTCTTCCACCGTTCGCACAAAGTAAGGGTGGGAACAACGAATATCTGTAGGCGGGTATGACGTGGTGGCGTGGTTGAAACTTTTCAAATCTGTCGTGATAATCTTGACGGTTCTCGGAAACAGAAAAAATTAGCTATGGCCTTGCGCGAAAATTTCATCGTCTATGACACGGCCGGTTCTCCTAACTCCTCAAGATGCAATAAATCTTGAAGGGTTGTTGGGTCCGATGTGAAGTACCCTTCGATATTCTAATCCTTGGTCATTGGAGCTTTTTCCGAACCCTAGCACACCAGAACTATCGAAACCGCGTCATATATTACCTGAGTCTATTCTCAACACTAACTATTCATTAAAATCACAAGTTGAAATTCGTTGATTATCCTAAGAACGTCTAGTTCGGTTATACGTTTCACAGTATGTTTTAAGACTTATGAACAAGGATGTGCCTACATAAGACTCTGATGTTCGGTTTAGGAAGCCCTTGTGATTCCACGCATTGTTCACCACTCGACGACGCTTACTGTAACCTTGATTTTCCGCTTAATAAACCTCCGATCACCGTGCGTTAACTATGAAAGTGTTAGACCATTGATAGTATTAAGCTGATAACGTATCTCATTTCATTTTTATCAATGTGAGTCAATCGATCATGAAACGAACGATCTTTCCAATTTCGCTGAAAGAAATCACATAAAAGACAAATGATAAGCTTACAATCACATAAAAGACAAATGACATGCTATATTTTATGCAGCCACTCGGAATTTATCAGGATCGTTTAGCGAAGTAATCGATGCGATTAACTGTAATTGGTGGATTTTTAGATCGGTATCGTACATTGGAATCGAAATCAAGGAAGACTGCTATGACGCTTTCGAGCTCGACTCCTCGTAAGCCGATATGTGCGTAATAATCGAGGCAATTTGATCGAAAATGCACTTGAAAACTAATTAATAATGATTAAAAGCCATCAATAATAATTTAATTACGGCCGGTATTCAGAATCGTTGCTTATTCTTAAGATCGTCTTCAAGTCCTTGTTTCCTGTACAAAACAAGGACTGGAAATATGGGATAGACAGGGATAACAATTTAATTAAGACGATTAAAACGATCTTAAGAATAAGCAACGACACTGAATATTGGCCTACGTGTTTGTTTCCTGTTGAACCCATCCACGCATTGCAAACCATTAATATCAGGTGAAAAATCGAAAGATAAGTGAGCCACGAACAACTGATTATCGAAACGATTCGCGAGCGTTTAAGTTCTAGATATTAAATTAATTTCTAGATTATGCCGATACGTGTGTTAGGACAGTCGATTACCTACTATAAATACCGCAACGATTTCGATCCGCCATCACAGACTCGTGAGCATCGACGAAAGTAAAGAAACCAACTCTCACGATGCTCAAACACCTCGCCACGGTCTTTGCCCTTGTGGCCTTTGTGACCGGTAAGTCTTTGCATGTATTTATTTATTTACTTTACTGTGCGGAGAAGAAAGATCCCATTAGAATAAAAAGTACTCGCAACTTTGCATACACGATTCATAAGATCACGATTGATCTTTTGATGCGTATAAGGAAGCTATCTTGAAACGGGCACGTTTCCTTCGATAGGAAGCCCCATCAACCAGACAATGATGGTCGATTTGCGAATGGACGGCCGTATCGTGGGTGGCGAGCAGACCACGATATACACAGCGCCTTACCAAGTGAGTTTACAGAGATATGGCAACCATTACTGCGGGGGTAGCATAATCGGCAACAAATGGGTGCTCACTGCCGGTCATTGCGCTAAGTACGCTGCCGGAACGTACCAAATACGATCGGGCTCTACCACCATCCATTCCGGCGGCTCGTTGCATAACGTCGTAGAAATTATTCATCACAAATCTTACGGCACCACCAGTGAGGGTATCCCGCTGAACGACGTCGCCCTATTCCGTATCGCCGACACGTTCCAATTCGACAGTGCACAAAAATCAGTGAGACTATTCGAAGGAGACCCCGCGTCTCTGGTAGGAAAGAACGCTTTGATCACCGGCTGGGGAAGTACCAAGTCCAGAGACGCTCCAGAGGCGCTGCACAAGGTTTCCGTTCCTGTGGTCAATACGAAGAGCTGCAACGATGCTTATAAAAGCATGGGAGGCATTCCCAATGGTCAGATTTGCGCCGGATACACGCAAGGCGGCAAGGACTCCTGCCAAGGGGACTCCGGTGGCCCCATGGTCGTTGACGACCAATTAGTAGGCATCGTCTCGTGGGGAAAGGGTTGTGGCGTCCGTAATTACCCGGGAGTGTATACGGACGTCTCCTACTACCGGCAATGGATCAAACAGAACAGCGGCATCTAATCTGTGATTTCCTCTCATTGGAAAAAGATTCGACGAATCGATACGCGAAGGACAACGATTCTAATCGCAGCTCCGGTTGCTACTCCCTGTATTATTGATGATGATTCAATTAAAAATCTCTTTCCTTTATTATACTTGTAGTTTCTTCTTGACATGAACTTTTGTAAAAGCCTTAATAGTAACAGTCATAGTTTTAATTACGTAAGTAAATTGTACAGACAATGAATGTGTTATTACTATCGTCAAATTTCCTGGTTTCACTTTATTTAATTTAAGTGATGAACGTACTAGTCTTACAAGCATATTTACAAATCCATTGCAATTGATTAATCGTTCGACATGTTACGATTTAAACAGTTTCTGATTTGGTTTAGAAAGTTTTAATAATTTTAAGGAGCAAAGAACATACACTTGTTACAGGGTTTACACCCACATAAGAAGACGTTTTATTCACTCCTTTTTCATCCTGACTTACACAGTGTATCCAACCTAAGATAATTATATTC